TAAAAGTTTAAACTGTTTTAACTTTGCATGGCTTTCTATACATCTCTTGTGTGAGATGCGAGTGCAGCAGTTATATTTGTCCGTCTAAAAAATGCGCTGAATATGCGCTCTGTGTGAATTGCTTGGTTTCGGTTTTAACCTGATCAAGATCTTCTCCGCATTGAGATTCTATATTTCTCTAATATTTTGAATGAATAACGCAGCAGCGGCACATCTCGTGGGCTAGACTAACAAAACATTAAAACGCAACAACGTCACTTACATCATTATCACCGCGTCTCGCGCGCCACTGATGACGCTCCCTGACGCACACATAACTTTCAAATGCAAATGTATATTTTAAATTCGACTAATATTCATTTTTTTATTCACAATCTCCTCATCACAGGCAGGCACAGCACTCATTTCAGCATGAGTTCGTGTTTGTGTGTGCTGTCTGCGTCACTCATAGTACGTGCCTATATCATGCGCTATATCTAATATTTTTTCTATCGATATCGAAGAAGGTGTACCGTCGATAAATATCGATACCGTTTTATCGCCCAGGCCTACTACACACACTAACAATGAAACATTTGCACACTAAAATAACCCTGATTCTTTCTGCCAACAACTAATGAAGACTGACCCAGAGCTGGTCATCCACGCCAGGTGGGTTCTTCTTGATGAAGGCACCATAGTAGGTGGCGATGTTTCGATGGTGGGAGTATTTTTTCAGCATGTTGATCTCAGCTTTAATCTCCTCCTCCTCATCCTGTCAAATAAAACAGACAACACTTGAGACAGAGCAGGAAAATACAATGTTTCTTGGTCCGTGAGTCACTGTCAGGAAACTATTCTACAGTATGATTTACTACTGCACATAATTACCTCATTTATATTACTTAGTAAATTATGTCATTGTTATTTTTTCAAGTTAAGTGTGTAATTTCTGTGCCACTAGCAACAAAAAATGGGGGGGGGGGAATTATTGTTTTCAAACAGGTTTCATTAGAAACACTCCATCCATCTGTTACTGGTCAGGCCAAACAGATTACCTCACCCCAAACTAAAGCCATTGGTTGAGACTGTTGCTATGTCAGGCTGGTTGGAACAATCAAAGAAACAAAGCAATGGTTTGACAGCCCCAGTGAAGGAGAACCAAACTACAAACTATTATGGCATGCATAATATGTTTTTATACTGAAAGGGATTTTAACCAAATCAGAATATTAGGAAATTTTAATGTCACATTTACATTTAAATGGGTTATGCAGATTTTTTTAAAAGTTACATTTAAAAATGAAATATATTATATAATATTTTAATACAACATTCAATAAATTTGGGGTCAGGAGGAGTAATGATGCTGAAAATTCAGCTTCGCATTATAGGAACAAATTACTTTTTAGAATGTATTAAAATAGAAAACTAATTTAAAATTGCAGTAATATTTCTCAGTATCACTAATAATATTAATAAAAAAATATAACCTTTTTTAATGTATTTTTATCAAATAAATGCAGCCTTGGTGAGCATTAGAAAAAAATTTCCAAAAATGTTTTTTTCAATTTTAATGACCCCATGATTTTTTAACATTAGTATATTATTATCATTAATATGTTCATATTTTTTTCTATTAATAATAACGTTAATAACATATTCATCATTAAAAAATTCCAAAATGCTTAATGCATTGTCCAGGAATCAGATATGGAAATCCCATAATAGTTGACTAATAATCTGAATATTGACGGAGTGTGTGTCTCTATGGTGGTCCTTCAATGCCTATGGAGGTTACACCCCTGGTACCTATCGATATGTATAAGTAGATACCACATTCGAGCGCTCCAGATACGTCGACGTGCCCACCATCTTGGAATGTCACTCACAATAAAAACCAATGAGTTTCAAGATGCCACAACATTGCGCAGCTTCTGGTTGTAAACAATTTAAAGGGGTCCTATTATGCTTTTTCACTTTTTCAACTTTATTTAGTCTGTAATGTTGCTGTTTGAGCATAAAAAAGATCTGCAAAGTTACAAAGCTCAAAGTCCATTTCAAAAGGAGATATTTTATTTAACAGAAATCACTTTTCAAAAACTACAACGAACGACTCGTTTGGACTACAATGCATATTTTCCGGGATTTGTGATATCACAAATACCGACGAATGGGACGAGACCTGGTCGAGCTGCACTAGAGAAGGAAACGAATGTTATCACTATGTCGGAGACACGCTAACTTTCCCAAGGCAGACGAACTTAGTGTGTTTACAATCATCCGGGTTTAAATCGTGCTCAAATTAGTTTGATATTGACGCAATATTTACACTGAAGCTCGCAGGCGGCTATGGTAAGGGGCGTGACATTTCTCGACCAGGCGCCGAGTGGTGCCAATCACAACACACACTGGCCCAGCTAACCAATCACAGCACACACTGACCCAGCTAACCAATCACAGCACATTTCGTATTTCAGAAGGTGGGCCTTCATTTGATACAGGAACTATTCGAGCCGTTCATGCCAGACTGGGGAAAGAGGTGCTGTAATAATGTAAAATGTGAAAAATAATGCGTTTTTCGAACAACCTAGTATGAGAGCCTGTTCTTTCTAGTACACCCCCAAAACAAAATCAAGACTTTGTAAAAGAGCAAAATAGGACCCCTTTAATTACTGGAGAAACTGGATAAACTTTCACAGGTAAGAATGTGTTGGTTTGTGTTTTTAATATGTATTACCTCAATATTACAGGTTTTTAAACTATAGTATCTTTTAAATGTTATGTTAGCTAACGGCTTCGTCTTGTTGTATTGTGTTAGTTCAGCAAAATCATCTGCTGAAGTCTATTGCAGCTATAGATATTCATATATGCGTATAACTAGGGCTGCAGACATACAGGCAAACTGGCACGACCTCTGCAGGGTCGTGGGCATGCTGCAGCCTATCCCAGCGTCTCGGGCCACATGCAGGGGACACCCTGAATGGATGGCTAGTCCATCACAGGGCTCACACACAGACACACCTAGGGAATTTACAGCATCCAATTCACCTATGCTGCATGTCTTTGGATTGTGGGGGAACCCGGATCACCCGGAAGACACCCACGCAGACACGGGGAGAACATACAAACTCCTCACAGAAAGGCTTCCTGGCTCAGCCGGGACTCGAACCAGGGACCTTCATGCTGTGAGGCGACAGTACTTGGTACTTTGTTTGCCTCAAATTACATTTACATTGTTTGCGTTTAAATAACATCATGCAAAAAGTGAAAAGTGAATGTGTAAAAGTGAAACCGACATGGAGAGAAACTTACCCCTGTGACATCCATGACCTTGATTGCAGCGAGCTGGCCAGTCTTGACATGACGTCCCTGAAGAGAGAAAGATAAGAGCGAAGAAATATCATTCATGAGAATCATACAAACATAATACTAGCATTATTGAACATGTGGTAATGAGATCTATCTGTGGCAGAAGAATATGTGGACGTAAGCCTCTCTGGCATGCGGCATCATTACGTAATAGCATAGGAAAACACACACACACACACACACACACACCTCCTAGAATTATTGAAACAGACTCAAAAACCTGTGTGAATGATCTCCGGCTCTTGGCTGTACCATTTCGTGTTTGTGAATGTGTGTGTTACAATGCCACCAGATGACAACTCTGTTTGCATTGGACGAATCTCCAAAAGCGTTATGCAACCGAAGGAATGTGGAAATGGAAATCACTGTCCCGGGTCTCCCCCAATTCCCTCCCGTTTACCTGTCAAGTTCCTCACTTCCCCCGAGCTCAATTTGATTTCATAACCCAAAACGAGAGAAACAGACACTGCGGACGCAGACTATTCTCATGGCAAGAGATTTCTAACAATTAGAAATAAAATGAAATAAAATGTTTTTTAAATATGCATATGATAAAAATTCTAAAACATTTTTTCTGGTAAGACCTTATTGTAATTAAAGTAATAAATCAAGAAAGATATTAAAAATGGAAATGAATGATCAAGTTGAGTGCTATGCATCATGGGATATGGTATCCCATAAAGTGCACTCTGCTGTATACTGCACATCTGCATTAGGCAATCTACAGTGGGGGGAAAAAAGTATTTAGTCAGCCACCAATTGTACAAGTTCTCCCACTTAAAAAGATGAGAGAGGCCTATTTTAGTAAGTTAAGCGAACTTACAACTAGCTGAAATAGAAGTGAAATGAAGGATCATTTATGAATATGTAACTTGCATTCAACTGATATTTATTTTATTTCAAGTAACAAAAACATTTTTTTTTTTTTAAGATTTTAGTTTACTATAACAACTCTGGATCACAAACTACTAGACTTTCAAGTTGTTACAAACATAAATTCACTCAGAAACATGCATCTCACTGGAAAGAGATGCAGAACAAATGAAAATATGTATTTAAAAATCGCCTCAAAATATCAAAAATGTACACTCTCAGAAAAAAAAAAAAGGTACAAAAGCTGTCACTGGGGTGGTATCTCTTCAAAAGGTACACCTTTGTACCTTATTTAGCTTACTACTAACGAGTACATATTAGTACCTTAAAGGTACATTTTAGTACCTCAAGGGTACATATTAGTACCTAAATGGTATATAGTTTTATATACTATATACTACAGCCCACTGACAACTTTTGTAAATTTTTTCTGAGCGTGTACGATATCCTCAGTCTGAATGGAATTGTAGACTGAAGCAAAAAAAAATCTATATGATTTTCTCAATTCAAATTTGCGGACTGGTTCTGACTTATGGCAACCAGCACAGACTAGTTCAGACTGTAAACCAGGAAAAAATCTGGGCAAAAGTTGTATAGTATTTCAGCCTGAAACGGATGCAACAAAATCGAACAGATTGCTGGGGTCTTGAGTCATATTTAAAACCTGAACTATTTTTAACTTGACATGCAGTCTCAAAAATGCAATGCTCAAAGGCCAAATATGTCCATCTGAATGTGTGTGGCCTAACGAGTACATATTAGTACCTTAAAGGTACATTTTAGTACCTCAAGGGTACATATTAGTACCTAAATGGTATATAGTTTTACCTTTTGAAAAGGTTTCAGCCCACTGACAACTTTTGTAAATTTTTTCTGAGCGTGTACGATATCCTCAGTCTGAATGGAATTGTAGTCTGAAGCTAAAAAAAATCTATATGATTTTCTCAATTCAAATTTGCGGACTGGTTCTGACTTATGGCAACCAGCGCAGACTAGTTCAGACTGTAAACCAGGAAAAAATCTGGGCAAAAGTTGTATAGTATTTCAGCCTGAAACGCAGTGCAACAAAATCGAACAGATTGCTGGGGTCTTGAGTCATATTTAAAACCTGAACTATTTTTAACTTGACATGCAGTCTCAAAAATGCAATGCTCAAAGGCCAAATATGTCCATCTGAATGTGTGTGGCTGTAGTGATGGTGCTTTAAAGGGCATGAACCTAAAATCTAAAGCAAACTAAAACACTGCAGCTAAAAACAATCAAAAAATCAAAACATTTAATAAATAAATAAAATCTAGATAAACTTGTCACTTCACACACCTAACAAGCCACATAATCTTCCTCAGGTATAATTCAAGTACAGGAAGTTATATGACTGAATTCCAATTCGCAGAATTTTCCATGGAAAACAAAAGGAGATATTTACAGCAGACTGTCAAAGCTGCATTACAAGTGAATAGAATGCCTATGACTATGAAGCAAAATCATTAAATAACACACCTGTCATACTGACCAATATATGCTTATAATGCTTTGATGACGCATTTACAGCAGCGTGAACATTCTTCAAAACGTCTCCTTTTGTGTTCTACGAAACGTCATGCTGGCTTTGGTGAGTAAATGACAACTTTCATTTCTTTCTTTTTTTGTGTCATTTACATTTCATTTTTAAACTATCCATTTAAAATGTAATGTTAGGTGTTTGTTGAAATAGTCATGCTTTCCTAAAATCTTTAAAAGTGCCTGAAAGAAAAACTCACAATCTTTGATAAAAGTGCCTACATTACTATCTTTCTCCTTCATAGCAGATTTCTCTCAAAAGCAGTGTCATGTGAGTGGGAAATGAGTGGTCCCAACGCAGCACATCCTGACCCAGAACCTATTTCTTCTAATACAGGGCATGTTTTTAATGGCTTTCTGGATCTCCCAAGACGAGGGCTGTGTGGGATTTTCTGCAGGGACTCAAAGCAAATCAAACTCCTGAATTTCCTTGAAGTCGGCATGAAATGAAAATTCACCATATGTATTTTCTAAATGCATGTTATAGATCTTTTTGTGAACAATTCATTCGTGCATATGCTTAATTTTTTTGACCAGACTTTCGGTGAAAACCACAGACTTCTCGACAGTACTTCTCCAATGAAGCTCGGGTTCATTTTCCTCACCCAAAACACCCACACTTCAAAAACCAATCAACAACTGAGGACTTAACCCAGTCCCTGCCCAATAAGGTCTTCTTTTTCAATAGTCCATAACTTCAATGTTTGGCCTACCTGCATATAGTTAAATATAACTATCAATACTTCTCTAATGCTGATCTGTTCTTGCAGGTCAGCGAGGTCGCAACCTACGACCCTTGGACTAATTAAACCGGCTTGCAACAATGCAGAAGTCCGAGAGTTCAATATGAATAAGACCATTCAGCAATCATCTCTCTTTCTATGTTGACCCAAATAGACAGATCCGGAGGCTGAGTAATGTGAACGTGAGGCCTTTTTTCAGGATCACAATTACAGTACAAAAAGCACCATGTTAAGATGAGCTCTGCAAACTCCAGCAGAGATGCGGAGTCACGCAGCTACAGCCTTACAGAGTGAAGCAGAAGACATCTGTTTAACAAGACTGACTCCAACACAAAAAAGTTTTGCTACGGACCAGCACATTTGATCTTTTACGCAACTTACTTTTAATGAAATTACCCACAATTCATCCAAGATGCTCCAGACACCGTGAAATTAGCTTTGGGTAGTGCTGCTGATTTTGATAACTAATGCTGCACTGATAGGCCTGACACTTCTGATGACCTTTTCTGCAGTATTTTGCATTGTTTAGTTATTGCAAAATTTGCTTTTTTATTAACAGTTTTGATATTCAATTTAATTAAAAAATCTTTAATAAAGAGAAGTCTTATGTTCACCAAGGCTGCATTTATTTGTTCAAAATACAGTAAAAACAGTAATACTGTCAAATATTACTACAATTTAAAATAACTGTTTTTATTAAAATACATTTTAAAATGTGCTTTATTCCTGTGATGGCAAAGCTGAATTTTCAGCATCATTACTCCAGTCTACAGAGTCACACGATCCTTCAAAAATCATTTTAATACCATTAATGCTAATTTGGTGCTCAAAAAACATTTCTTATTATCATCAATGTTGAAAACATTTGTGCTGCTTAATTTTTTTTGGTGGAAAACTGATGCATTGTTCTTTCAGGATTCTTTTATAATCAGTGCCTTAAAGGAATAAAAATGAAAGAAATGCATCATCAATAATCAATGTTCATTCTCCGAGACAAACAAAGCAAAACAATTATCTGAAATGACATTACAAATCCACTAGTTAACTGAATAGATTCAACTGAAAAGATGAATACAAGAGTTACATTCCACTAAGACCACAATATTCATAAAGATAAATAATGACTGATTTCACATTAACAAGAAAACAAATAAGAGTAATAGATGAAAGAACTCGTATAACGAAGCAATTCAAATCAACAGTCCGCATGTAATCTCACACCAAAAGTCAGGAAAAAAGTCATGAGTCAACAGAAAAACTATTCATCAATTCATAATTTCTCTGCCTCTATTATTTCTTTCACACTAATTCAGTCAATCATGGCTGATTGTGTCCTAAATGCAGCTTCACCAAAGCCACCAGAATGCCATCGACAAAATGTCTAATTTGGTTCAAAAACTGCTCAGCTTCCATATGATAATAAATGAATGCCTGCTGTTTTAAATAATATCAGAATTCTGAAAGATGTCAGGCGCTTGTGCTTTTGAAAAACTCCTACACGTAAATGAGCAAGTGTATTTTATATTCATTTACACACACACACACACACACACACATACACATATATATATATATATATTTGGACTGATTAGCCCACGCAAATCCGGTGCACAAACACCACAGACTGTACTTTCTTGATGGCTCACCAACAGACACAGAAATGTATCTTTACAATGTAAAATAAAAACTAAATGTTGCCACCTGCTACCTGTTTATCCAAACATTGGTAGCCAAGAGGCGGGACAGAGGGAATGTCTGGAAAATATGTTAGGAAATCATGACTATTACTATTGCACACACTTGCTGATACTATTGATAAGCATT